CATAAGCGCTGAGAAAATACGTGGCATTATAAAATAAGGTAAAAAATATCGTGATTAATGCCAGAGTGTTAATAGCTTGTGTTCTTCCAGAAGTTGATTTAATATAAAAAATACGTTAATCAGTATTAACATGTGAACAAAATAAAATCCTATTAATTTTATGTATTCGGTAACTGAAGAAGAAATGCTTCCTTAACATTTCAGTTTTTTTTTTAAATTTAATTTTTGGATTTCTGAAGTTTGAAGAATACACGCGAGGTGGCAGCACGAGCTTGAATTTGTAGCATTCGGTATATCGTTTGGGCTTTTTCCATTGTATCTAGTAGAAACATTTGGATTTTATTTGGAAAACGTGTGGACTACTTTCGTTCACATGATTGAAATATCAAAATTAACACTAACTGAGTGTCTCACAATAACATAGTGCCAGTGGTGACAGTCGAAACCGAAGATTGAAGTTAAAGTTACTATACAAAATAGGTACTTTTGAATTAAAAGAAGTAAATATACAATTTACCTTTATTGAGTTGCTATAACAACAACAAAAACAGCAATAATATTACCTAAAATGTCTAGCTTAAAAGGCGTATTCACGAGGAGGACATGAAAAGAATTTAGACAATTGTCTCGTCTACGTCATACGCATGCGCATTACTGTCACATTGTTGTTCACGTTACAAATGGTGAGCAACTTTGTAAACAATTTGAAATAGTTGGTTAATTCCAGTTCTCCAGACCATAAACTATTTTATTAGGTGAAACACGATTAAAGCACAACAATTTCGTTTAAAAAACTGAAAAATGTAGCGTTTACAAAGTTTACCGGATCTATTTTTCTGCTTGAAAATACACGTTCTTCGCCATTGGCAAATCATCAAAACTCATCAAATCGATGTATTTTTTTCCTACTAAAACCCCTTGTGATGTTTCGATTGAAGTTCGTAGTTGATGAGAAGGCACTCCACATTAATTCTTTACGTTAACGACAGATGTCCCTGTTTGCGTTGCACGTTTTTTTTTTATTATTTATGAATTAAGTGCGAAAATAAACGTGAATATCTATGTAAAGTAACATAGATTGAAAAAAATGTGTGCCTTTTCCCATAGTCAAAACACTTCAAACCCTCTTTTCAATAACATGTTCATATAATAATCTC